TAATTTTCCTAAATATTATTTCTGATGAAGCAGCAAGGACGAGAATGGCTGTCTTTTAATCATTACAAGAGACCCATTATTCACACTTTGCTCCTAAGCCAAAATCATCATCCCTTAGACTTTACTATCCTTTTATGCTATTCATCACTCATTCACAACATCTATATCTTAATAACGTATTAAATATTAATATTATATAATTTGTTTGAGGGTGGATCCATAAAGCACGGCGAAGAATAGGCTAATACACCATTCATAGAATTTAATATAATAATAGTTATAGTAGTTATGTATTAAATGTGTGTATATATATATATATATATATATGTTCACACCCTTCCTTTTCTTTCTTTAGGGAAAATCTTGTGAGACCAAATTTTAATGTTCATGCACGTCTCTATCACTTTGCTCCATCAAAGCCCTTATTGCATGCCAGCACAAAAATGAGTATTCATAAAATAATAGCTTTTCATTTTCTTCATATTATCTTAAGCCAATTCTAAATGCTTTATTTCTACCTACTAATATTAGATTGAAGAAACAACAAATATTAATTAAGGGGTGCTATTCTTTACATTTTTAATTGTGCATGCATGTCATTCCCCAACTATATATATATATATATGTAGTATAATTAGCTGATCCTTTTCAAATCTCCTTCATGGCTTTCTTTATCCTTTGCTTTGTTTTGACGTTAAACTAATTAATAAACATATAGGGTTATTCTCAAATTATTATATAGCACAGTGAATTAGATTAAGATTTTGTCATTATTAGACATGAATATACATATATAAGTATCGCTTTTCGGTGGTTGGTTGAGGATGCTAACCATATGTTATGGGGCCTTCTCTTTTGGTATCATCTGAGTGCAGCACTTGCGAGTTTGATGGACTTTCTAAACCCTAAATATTTCAAAAAAGTGTGTGTTGCGAGAGAGAGAGAGAGAGAGGAAATGGGAATGGGAAGGGCCTACAAGTTGAGTGTGAAAAATGAAGGGACAACAGCTTGACGAAAGGAGGAAGAGAATAATAGGCATGAAGATAGGTTACGAGAAAGACAGGGTCCACGTGTGCTTTTCGAGGCCCTACGATATGATGTTTGTGTTCACTTAATGTTAATATCAATAACGTACTTATCTTGTAACCTTTTTATATGAATATAATGAGTGTCAACTAAGAAAGTAGGCCATGATAAAAGGTACATCCAATCAAGCGATCCAACATGTGTTTTCACATCTTAAAGTCAATGCAATCTTTATAAAACCATAAAAGCAATGAGAAAACATAGAGGCTCCTTCTTTCTTTCTTTCTTTCTTTTTTCTTTTTGTTTTGGTGGTTTTCACGTTCCACCATGGAAACAACGTTTTGCTTTCCTCTCTTCATTATTAATACCTAGACTCTCTGCTCTTAGTCTCTAACAAATTAATATTTATCAAGCTACTGAACGATCTTTCGTATTGGGCATAAGTTCCTGTTAAGGTTTTCTAATAAATAATAATACATAAGTTGATAATTAATGAACCCTAAAGGCTGAAAATAAACCTAAAATAGAGAGAATAGTTAATATATGTGTGTATATATATATTCTGGCTAGAGTAACTAATTGAGTTGGACCAGTTGTACAATATAAACCTAATGATTGATTCTGGCTAGCAAAATGACTAAATCAATGGTCTAAGTTGACAATATGATATAGAAACATACTTAATACTTCGCACGTTGATGTAAATTACGCTAAATATATACGTACACCTATACCATCCAGATGTAACTAATATTGGATATATAAATATTTTAGTTGACTCCTATCTATTAGAAGATATAATGGGTTGAGATACGAAGACAAGTTTCTAGTTTATACATACATGATAGTTGTCTCATTTATACAAAGAAGGGATTCTACATAATTTAAGATATATAGATAGTATCTTGATGTCATCACCCAAGAATGAATTTCGAGGGTAATTAAACAAATAGTTTAAACAAGTTTACGTCATGGCATGTAGAATCTGAATCATGATACAATATGGTGGTTGCCCGGAAACTTGCATGAAGTTTTGACGCAGTATGGAAAGTTCGAGCGTGTTTCATACGACATAGCATGTTAAATATATTTTAGACATTAACTGTTTGTAATGTAGACACCAACGCATACATATATTCAATGGGCTAACATTGAATTCAATGCAAGCAGTTGAATTTTCTATCAAAACCGCGTTTCTTGTTTGTTTAATACTTTTGTCCCTGTATTCTTCTGTCTTATTCGCTAGTCATCGTATTACCATGTATGCATGCATGTGAGTGTCCATATGTGTGTACGGCCAATGTGTGTAGAAAAGGATAATAATTTAGCAGTAAACAGTGAGAAAATTCTATAGATATTGATGGAAAATCGGCAGAACAAATCAATACTCCAGAGATTAGAAATATTCAAGAAAAGCAACAAATAAAAAACTAGTTCTTAAAATAATGACGCATGGGCACGCTAAGCGCACATGCACACACGTCTAGTTACTTCGTCATAAGAGAAAGAGGAAAAAATATCATACATTTCCGTACATTTATTCGATTTACGTTTTACCCCTCAAAATACCCAAGCAACTTTGACCACATTAATTTTTTTATATATAGCATTACTCTTTATAAATTCTGGTTCACTTACCAACAATCATCGTAGAGCAAATCTTATCAACAATGGGGGGAAACCAAACCTAGCAAATTCTTCAAGGAGGTGTTTCACATCAGTTGATTGAAGCTTATATATATATATATATATATAATTGTCTATTTGAACTAGATTTCTGACTTTTTCTAAAAATATTTGCGAAAAGTCGTTGAAAAATGTTTAGCACCAAAAATAAGAATGAAATTTTAATTGAACTAAATTTAACGAAAACATTGTCGGCAAATGTTAGTAAATTAAAATGATAAGGAGGTTAATTTGCTACAAATATCTTGAATAATGTTTCAAAGTATAAACTTTGAAAGCATGAGAGGAACTTACACCTCAACACAAATAAAAGTCAAAGTCACTCAGCAAGCCAGAAAAACATAGAACAAATTATCACATAAATGGTGTAGTTAAATTTATATTTTCTATATGTATTTAAGTGTTTCCACGTACTTAAAAACTAAAATCCCTTCTAATAATTTGATATAAATTGAGCCTCGTGCGACAAAGCATATGCATGCCAAAGAATACTAAATAATTCCACACTTCGTCTTTTTATGCCGAAGACAGTAGTAAATGAAGGAGCGGACGAGCTCTCCAAGTAAAACCCTAATTATAATTAGAACTCTCCAAGAAAAAATGATTGTCTATATTTTTAATTTCATGTTAATTCGACTATACTTTATATAAGGCTTTGAAGCAATTTACGTGTCCTAGATATAAGGGCACGTTTTATGGAATCCTAGATATAAGCTTCTAGGTTTATTCAAGGAATCTATCTCTTGCAGCAATTATTAGGCAACAAGCTAGTGATAGCCTATATGTTGGATGATGGAGTATGCATGAAGTAATATAAATTATTGGGACACACACCATAATGTGCGTATACCAATTATATCACTTAATAAATGCACCACACCCGTGTGCATGTTCTAATAAAGGGCGTATATCATAAGCATCTTGAAGTCCACATAAATAGCTGAAACTGGTGCCAAAAATTAACCCTGTGAATCATTTCTCACCTAAACTTTAACTAGTAGGGTTTCTAATCCACTACTTCTGATATATATTCTTCGCACGCTGTGAAATTCTTGAAACGGAACCTCTTCAGTCTTCACACATACTGTTTTTCACGTAAAGACATGGTTTTACTAAATATCTACATCACCTTTGCGATTATGAGCACTAAGTATGGTCTTTTTCAAAAACCAAATATTAGGTTAACTAATGAGTTAACTCTGTAGCTAGCTACCTATTTATCGCCGAGCAGCCAAGACTGAGATCAACTCCCTAATATGGTGAACAAGTGTGTGGCTCTAGTACGAGAAAAGAACTTGGTTTATGATTTTCAAATTTAATTGGGAATTCTCTGGTTTCTCCTCCACATTGATTGCTTAAGGGATACTTTCATATAAATCAGTGGTAGGGTATAGAAACCATGAACTAGTCGAGTATATATGCTATAGGATTTATATATATATATATATATATATAAAGGTGACTATATGATGATGAAACTACGCAGTACAGGGTGGAGTGTTTTAATAACATTGGCACAGTGAACCCATCATACACACAACACAACACTTTCTTATTATATATATGGTTCTTTGGAGAAGAAGGAATAATATAGTTGGATGGTGAGTTACGTCCTTAATATGTTTAATAATCACCCCAGTCGAGTTCCATCTTTTGAACCGAAGCTGAGTACGTATGTCACCAAACTTAACTAACCAAACACGAGGGTTTGAGGAGAAAGGATATGGCGTTGGTTGAACAAACAGTACTTGCCTCTGAACTCTCTATCACACACACACACACACAAATATTCATTTACCTCCTTAATATAGAATTTAAGTTGGAAAATTATAAAGGAAACAGAGAAGGAAGATGGGTGCCAAGAGATGCACTTCTTACCTAAACAAAAATAGATTTGGGTACAAATATCCTTGACCAGATAAATCTATTTCAGTTCTGCCGTACCTACCATATATACATACATATATATATATATATATATATAATCAAGATCACCGCTAGTTCCCAACTTCCCATGTTAATTATGTAACTCCGCACTTTAATTAGTGGAAGCATAACAATTTGATTTTCAATGTTGGCCAGTCCTATAAAAGTCTCTATCTATCTTGTTTTCTTTGCCTGGATGCAAGTTTAGGGAGAAAAAAATGAGATCCTCAGAAAAAAGTGAATACTTGAGGTACCGACTTCTCATGATAAAGCACACACATTTAGATGCAAATATGACTATGTGTATGAATTGAGAGAAAAATATTGCAGAGTTGAAGAATGTAGGTATAGTTTGTAAGTACCTCAGATTCGCTTTGGAGCCTCAACTTGTTAACCAAATACTTCAGTAATAATCGAATCGTCATCTTTCCATCCCTGGAGTATAAAGATTATTATGAGAAATTAATAGATAGAATGCATTTGTGTGTGTGTGTGTGTGTGTGTTTCTGAAATTAAAATCAAGGAAAAGATTTGCATTGATAGAATTAAAAAGTAACAAGCTAAGAGAAGAGGACAAGAGAGAGAATAATGAAGAGAAGGTACTTGATTCTGAGGTAGCTCTTGGGTATTTGGGGCAAGAACGGTTCTTTGGCTCTGCATTGAAGGTACACGACAAACCTTGTTTGATTACAGTTCAGCAACTAGCTAGGTGAAATATATAGACATAAACATATACTGATTTAGCAGATATGAAATGAAAACAATGAGAAGGATGAAGCATATATACTGATTTGGGGAGGCTTGAAGCATGAACCAAATTCCGGAATGAGGCCTCCGAGGAGGATCGACAACTCTAACATCAGAGCTTGGACCAGCTGAAGCATCGTCAAAGCCAGGAGGGAAGTGAAAGGGCCTCGGAAAATAAGAAGCAGCAAGATGATGAGAGCTCAGAGGAAAAGAAGAAGAAGACGAAGAAGAAGGCAAAGTAAAAGGGCTAGCAGGAGCGAATGCCCAGTTTGAGTGTGAAAGATGAGGAGCAAAGGCTGAAGCACTGTGAGGATATTGGAATTGTTGGAAGAGAAGATTAGAGGGTGGTGGAGGAGGAGGAGGCGACGACGGAGGAGGTTGTACTGGTAGTAGTTGTGGGTGGCTGAAATTCAAAAGCGGCGCAACGGAACCACCGAGCTGAGGTGGCGGCAGCGGCAGCAGGAGCGGCGGCCTGCACGGCTGGGAATTGGAATGAGGAAGCAGGTCGAGCACCACCGGCGAAGATGAGCCTCCTAATTCCTCACCTTCTCTTTGACGTCCTATGCTTAATTGAAGCCATCCTTCATCCCTAGTCTCTTGCTCTTGCTGATTAATCTGATTATTATTCCCTTTCGATCCACCTGCACTCGCACTGTTACTTCTGGATTGATCATCCTCACCCATGTCCGATCCTAATAACTCAGATTCCCTGCAAATATTCTGATTATAATAATAGCCTTCAACTTCAAGTCTGCGAAATCCACCATAACTCTGTTGTTGCTGATCTTGTTTTGAGAGGTCGTGATGAGTTGCAGCAGGAAGCATGGTCATATTGCTTTAGCATAACCCTCCGGTGACTTCTCCGGCGATCCACGACTATGGCTGTTCTTGTTGTACCTGATCTCTATCTCCATACAACCCATGGATATATGTATCGGAATCGAGATCCTTTATATTGGGACGACGACGACGGATCTACCCTGCGAATAATTGTAGACCACTTTCTCATCAACCGAAGCCACCCAACGGATAAGGGTTTTTCTCATTTGCTCTCTCCTTCTCTAAATATCAACCATCCATAAGTCCAACAATTCTTGTAAATCTCACTTTCCATTCATTCTCTTTCTTTGGAAGCTTGTGGGGAAGAGAGAGAGATGTCTTAGCGCAGACACAGAAGGCGAGAGACAAACAAAGACGGTGTTCTTTTTCTTATATATATATATATATATATATATATGGGGGATTAATTAGTATGCATCCAGAAGAATGTAAAATATTATATACATACGTCACTGAATCTCATTTTAGAAATTATTTTGTTAAACATTTTCCCTCGACCCATTAAAAAGTCGTTTTGAATCTATTTATTGAGGATAAATTTGAAAGAAAAATCATCTTATAAATCAATGATAAAAATTGATTTTAAATTGATATCAAAAATCAGAAGCAACTAATAAATATCTTTTTAAAAAAATTGTAAAAAAACAAAAAACAAAAAAAGTTGAGGAGAAAGGAAAGGTATGGAGGACGCCAAGTTCGGGCCATGTTCCGAGGAGAGAATTTGACTGCAAAGGAGGTCTTTCTTTTTGTTATATAGCAAAAAGTTCCTTTTTAACCCAAGTAGGTTCTGGTCGGTTACCCTAATTAACATTAACAACTAATTCCAAATATCTGATCTCGCTGGTTAACTAACTGTCATTCTTTAAATCAAATATTGTTAACCTTAGATAATTACTCTATGAAAATGGATCCCTGCAAGTTTTTAGACGTGTTACCCTGAAATCATAGTACTGTACGTATGTTATACTTTGTAGAATTATGTATATACTTTTTACCTACCATTTTAGTTTGCTTTTGAAGGTTACTCGAAACAGAACTAGTTTTTTTCAAGTAGCTTAATTTTTATAAAATTAAAGGTAAAAGAATAAATTAGCCCCTAAATTATAGATTAGGAATGGCTGGAATCCTAAATTTATTTTTGGTGTAATATTCTCATTTAACTTTTGAAAATAGTGTAATTTACCTCTTATTGTTGATAAAAGTTAATTTTAATTGTTAGTTGACCTTAAAATTACAGAAAAGGATTAATAAAATTTTTTTAGTATTTTAACTATAATTTTTGGGTCCTTGTCTGTAATTTTTAGATTTTTTACTGTAATTTATTTTATCTTTTTTTTTGTAAGTTTTAAGGTTACTTTTTAATCAACTAACGATTAAAATTAACTTTTGTTAATGGTAGAGATTAGATTACATTATTTTCAAAACTTGAATAAAGATATTGCACCAAAAATGAATTTAAGATCCCAAATAGTCTTGAATTTATAATTTACAGGCCAATTTGGTCTTTTACCCTAATTATTAAAATTAACTTTTTTCATATATATTAATTAAAGAAACATGATATGCCAAACATTTACGATTTATAATATAAATGTATGTATGTATGTATTTTAGTCTGAGTTTGCCCATCCTTTAAGAGCAGAGATTAAATAATGGAGAGTGGAGAGAAAAAAACAAAGGGGATTTTTTTGGTTGATTTGTTGGTATATGTGGGAAACAGAGAAGAATATATGTAATGTAAGTTGAAGTGGAGGGCATGATGAGCTTACCTGTCAAGAATGGCACATATAGGATAATAAATTAATTAATTAATAATATAGAAGTGATATTCATTAAGAGGTAATTATAAACAAATGAATAGGAGAGTTTGGGCATGCATGATGATGATGGTGTTTGTTTCCTCGCAATCCGAGAATGAAAGCATAACGACGTGGGCTTTTATTTTAAGACATTCCTCTTCCTAAAGCCATGTGCCTCCCATACACACCCTCTCTCTCTCTCTCCAGAAACTTTTGTACGACATCTCTCTTCTTTATATACTTGTCTCAGACAGAGCGCTCTAATTTATTTTCAACTGATTATTATCGAACTTCTATGGAGTATATGAATTTTTAAACAAAGCATGAACTAGAGGAGCTACTATGATCTGAAAAGCTGCTCTTCTCTTTCCAGCCCATCATAGTCTCTCTCTCTCTCTCTCTCTCTCTCTCTCTCTCTCTCTCTAAAGCAACCAAAACATGGATGATTCAAATTTCGTCAATTTCTTTGATTAATGAACTAACACAGAAAAAATTACTATTTATGGGTGAGTGATTTAAATGTGAGGAATTATAATCAACTGGTGTTAGTCTTGTATAGGAAAAAAATAGTGAATTAACGACAAACAATTTAGCAATGAAATTTACTAATAAAAAAGTTCGCTAATATTTCTTATAATACCTTATTACAGTTTTGTGAGAGAATTTGTGATGGAAAAGTCTATCACAAACCTTTTTGTCACTATTCTGTCCCTATTAATTCCATCAGAAGTTGTTTTTAATTATTCTATTAAATTTATATAATATATATATAATTATTATTATACTGTAAATATCTAATTAAATAATTATATTTTACTATTTTATATTATTCATATATTAATAATGATTTAAAAATATAATATAATACATAAGTATAATAAAATAATTTTTCAATTTGATATTGATATCCTAATAAAAATAATTTATCATAATAATAAAAAATAATGTTAAATAATTGTGTGTATTTAAATAATTTATTTATTTCTATGTGTTTATGTATTTAAGTATTATATATTTAATCTCACAATTAAAAATTAAAGATATCTTTTAGCTCAACTGATAAAGTAGACACACAAAGGCAGAAGAAAAAGTAGGTGGTTGCAAGTTTGAACTTGGCCAAGTAAGGCACATTTGAAATTAGGGTTGTCAGACTTCAATTTTGCCCTCCAAATATTAGATAAGGGGACACCCAATATCACGAACTTAATTTTTGGTGAATAAGACAGTTAGGAAAAAAGATCCTGTAAATGCAAAGACATACCAAGCCAATTTTTCGCTAATCACATCCATTCCTAATGTTTGGGCCATTAGACATATCATGGCCATTGATTCTTGCTACTTGATCGCTGCTCGCAGTATCAATGATGACTTTTACCACTACGCTTTCGATGATGATTTCAATGTTGTTTCTGTTGATTCTGTTGCCACAGTCAATCAGCAATGGTCCTACTGCGTTGCTTGAGATTGTTGTTCACTTTTTTGCCTTCCCTTATTGCCAACGTGGATACCAAGTAGAGTGCCATGTGGACATTTTTGGTAAAAAAAATGACTTAATGGTCAAAGTTAACGAGCAAAATTAGTCTCTTTTTAAACATTTAGAAGAGGAAATGATTAAAAATGGAGTTTAAGATACCAAGTATCCTTTAACTAATAATTTAAGAGCAAAAATGACCATGAATCCTTTGAAATTAATATATGACGTAGTAGTGACAAGGCACATGGTGGTAAAATGATATTGAGGTGATATTCATTAATCGGTTGTTGTCATGAGGGGGAGAAAAAGCTTTGCAAGTACCATACACAAGATCAATGAATCAATGTTCATATATACATGAGGAGATGATGAAGGAATAGAAATTAACTTGGATGACACTAGTTTGTCTAAATGAGGAGATGGTTGCCAAATGAAGAAAATTAAAGTGTGAAGCACTTATGGAAGAAGGAAAATGCAGAGCGAGAGCGTGATGACAGTGCATGAGCATGGAATGACTTAAGCTTGGAATCAAAGGGACGCTGATGCTGATGGCGATAAGTTTCTACCCAAATTCCAATTCCACTCCTCCAAGGGCCCTACACCAAACGACACCAACTAAATTCTTCCTTCTAATTATCTTCCCACATTTATTATATCTCTTTTCCAGTATGGACAAAACTAGGTCTACACTTGTTAATTCTTTTATTTTTCTTTAAGGATCTATCCACCAATCACAGGTTTATAGGTAAACTTTGGCTCTCAAAACGAGTCAAGATTTAAAGTTTGCCTTGTTTCACGTTGTCTTTTGTCATCATGAGTTTCTGTTCATGTGTCCTCTCGACGCCTGCTCGCATACAAGTTAATCAATTAATTACCATGCAATGTTGTCTTCCGAGGGCGTAATAAAAAGTGTACAAATTAAAGTTAGTAATAATATGTAAAGGGGAGGCGCAAAAAGAAAAGTGAAAAAAGAAGAAGAAGAAAGTAGAAGCTAGAGCTAGCTAGGGCACATATATATGGGAAGAAGAAAGTGTTGAAAGATACGTGAAAGGCAAAGAATGAACGAAGAGAAAAATAGGATTGTGTTTGTCTTAGAAGAGAATGTTGTGTTGTGTATACGTAATAATCATGCATGGGATGGTGGCATGAGTTATCTATCAGACAGACACACACACACAGAGGGGCCGGGGGAGAGATAGGACCAAACAATGATAACTTTAGGCAATTTACATGCTGCCATTATAGAAAGTGGGTTTGCGCTATAGTGTCTTTTTCCCACCAAGTACATACATGAGTGGAGAATTGGAGAGAGAATATTCACGACTTTCTCTTTCCCTCTCTCTTTCGGATGCATATACAATTAAAGAATTTTATAAGTAAAAAGAAAGAAAGTTTATTGGCTTTAATCTCGTCATCATGGCATCATGAATCCCATCATCCCTCGTCATTATCGTGGGCTGGTTTCACTGCGAGAATACATACATACATACATACATATATATATAAGAGGGTATAGAAACTAATAAAGATGGATATTAGGGTTAATCTTGTTTTCTATATATATATATATATATATATGTATGTATGTATATGTACAGGACTTACTACATGAGGGTGGGGGGAGAGAGAGAAATGCATGAGCATGTGTTATAATGAGTGGTTATGTCAGTGCATGCATGTGAGAGTGTTTGTTGAGAAAACCGAGAAGGAAAGAAGAAGAAAAGAGAATAATATACATACATATATATACACACATATATACATATTTTGGGATTGAATTGCATGGCTGTTCGAGGTCTCATAGGATGGCGAGATGGAGTGGTGCAGATATACAATATTTGTCAGAAAGGTGTGCTCTGCAGTACCCACTTTTAGGGCTTTCAAATTCAAACGCTACTGCTCTCTCCCAACATATGCCCATGTGATTTTCTATTTTCAAACACTACTCTTTCCTCCTCCACTAACTCCTCTCTACTCATCAATCATATATATCCCACTCTTCAATTTTTGTTTTTGCTTGTGCCAATTATGATTCCTTTGTTTACTATTAACAGGA